CCCAGTCATGAATCCCGAGAGAACCTGTCGGAGGCGCCGTGCCAGCACCTGCTGCCGCGGGCGGTCTCTGAGCAGATAGGGGGCCTCCGGGAGGTGAGTGGCCTCAAGAACAACCTGGACCTGCAGCAGTACAGCTTCATCAACCAGCTGTGCTACGAGACGGCCCTGCACTGGTACGCCAAGTACTTCCCGTACCTGGTCGTCATCCACACGCTCATCTTCATGGTCTGCACCAGCTTCTGGTTCAAGTTCCCTGGCACCAGCTCCAAAATCGAGCACTTCATCTCCATCCTGGGCAAGTGTTTCGACTCGCCGTGGACCACGAGGGCCCTGTCTGAGGTCTCTGGGGAGAACAATAAGGGCCCCGCTGTCGGAAGGGTGACCACCACCGTGGCGACGGTGGCAGGCGCAGGGAAGGCGGGCGAGGACGAGAAGGAGAAGGTGCTGGCGGAGCCTGAGAAGGTGGTCACGGAGCCGCCAGTTGTCACCCTGCTGGACAAGAAGGAAGGTGAGCAGGCCAAGGCCTTGTTTGAGAAGGTCAAGAAGTTCCGCGTGCACGTGGAAGAGGGCGACATCCTGTACACCATGTACATCCGGCAGACGGTGCTCAAGGTCTTCAAGTTCTTCGCCATCCTGGTCTACAACTTGGTCTACGTGGAGAAGATCAGCTTCCTCGTGGCCTGCCAGGTGGAGACCTTAGAGGTCACGGGCTACGGCAGCTTCTGCTGCAACCACACCAAGGCCCACCTCTTCTCCAAGCTGGCCTTCTGCTACATCTCCTTCGTCTGCGTCTACGGGCTCACCTGCCTCTACACGCTGTACTGGCTCTTCCACCGGCCCCTCAAGGAGTACTCCTTCCGTTCCGTGCGCGAGGAAACCGGCATGGGGGACATCCCCGACGTCAAGAACGACTTTGCCTTCATGCTGCACCTCATCGACCAGTACGACTCACTCTACTCCAAGCGCTTCGCCGTCTTCCTGTCGGAGGTCAGCGAGAGCCGCCTAAAGCAGCTCAACCTCAACCATGAGTGGACGCCCGAGAAGCTGCGACAGAAGCTGCAGCGCAACGCCCGGGGCCGGCTGGAGCTGGCCCTCTGCATGCTCCCGGGGCTGCCCGACACGGTCTTCGAGCTCAGTGAGGTGGAGGCGCTCCGGCTAGAGGCCATCTGTGACATCACCTTCCCCCCTGGCCTGTTGCAGCTGGTGCAACTGCAGGAGCTCAGCCTGCTGCACTCGCCCGCCCGGCTGCCCTTCTCCTCACAGATCTTCCTGAGGGACCGCCTCAAGGTGATCCGCATCAAGTGCGAGGAGCTCCGCGAGGTGCCCCTGTGGGTGTTCGGGCTGCGTGGCCTGGAAGAGCTGCACCTCGAGGGGCTCTTCCCCCCGGAACTGGCCCGGGCAGCCTCCCTTGAGAGCCTCCGTGAGCTAAAGCAGCTCAAGGTGCTGTCTCTGCGGAGTAACGCCGGGAAGGTGCCGGCCAGTGTGACCGACGTGGCCGGGCACCTGCAGCGGCTGAGCCTGCACAACGACGGCGCCCGCCTGCTGGCCCTCAACAGCCTCAAGAAGCTGGTCGTGCTGCGCGAGCTGGAGCTGGTGGCCTGCGGGCTGGAGCGCATCCCCCACGCCATCTTTAGCCTGGGCGCACTCCAAGAACTCGACCTCAAGGACAACCACCTGCGGTCCATTGAGGAGATCCTCAGTTTCCAGCACTGCCGCAAGCTGGTCACACTCAGGCTGTGGCACAACCAGATTGCCTATGTCCCTGAGCACGTGCGGAAGCTCCGCGGCCTGGAGCAGCTCTACCTCAGCCACAACAAGCTAGAGACTCTGCCCACACAGCTGGGCATGTGCTCCAGCCTCCGCGTGCTGGACGTCTCCCACAATGGGCTGCGAGCCGTGCCCCCTGAGCTGGGCCAGCTCCAGAACCTGCAGCACCTGGCTCTGTCCTACAACGTCCTGGAGGTCCTCCCGGATGACATCTTCTTCTGCCGCAAGCTGAGGACTCTGCTCCTGGGCTACAACCACCTGAGTCACCTCTCACCCCAGGTGGGGGCACTCCGAGCCCTCAGCCGCCTGGAGCTCAAGGGTAACCGATTGGAAGCATTGCCCGAAGAACTCGGCAGCTGTGGGGGGCTCAAGAAGGCAGGGCTGCTGGTGGAAGACACCCTTTATGAGGGCCTGCCCGCTGAAGTTCGGGACAAGATGGAGGAGGAGTGAAGCCAGGGCGGGGCAGGCTGAGGTCACGGCCTTCCAGATGTTTCCTCCCCAGGATCTCTACCATTGTCTTTCCTCAAGGGAGGTGGCCAGGTGGGCCCAGGCCAGGAGGGGAGGAGCAGACATGCCAGCTTTGGGCCCAGGCAAGATCCTGGGACTGGTTTGTCTGGAGAGCAGGAGTCTCTGGGCTGTGGACAGGGGCGGGGGCGAGGGGGTGGGGAGGAACGTCATGGAGGGATTAACTCAGTCATAGGATTCTCAACCCAAACCACACCTGGGTCTCTGGCTGGCTGGCCTGCCCCAGCCCTGAACCAGAGCTGCTGCCCTCCCCTTGGATGTTCTAGCTTGATCCGTGCCACATATGGGGGTGGGAGCACATCCCAATGGGATTTCAACCTTCACCCCCACACAAAACAGCTTACATCTGGGGTTCTCTCCCAAGGAGGGAACACAGACACAGGGACCAGCTCCACCTACCCTGCTAATCCCTTATTTATAAGTTGTTTGCCATGGGCTGCGTGAACTCAGAAACATGGTTCTCCTATTTGGCTATGCATCAAAATCAACATCCCCAAAAGAAAACACCCCAGGCTCCACCCCTGAATGACTGACTCAGGAGATTTGGCTGGAGGCCAGGAACTTGCCTGTAGATAAGCATCCCAGGTAATTCCGATGCAGGTGGTCCAAGACCTGTGCTGGGAAATGCTGTCCGACAGAATGGACACCTGGCTGATGAGAGCCACGATTCCAATGAAAGCCAGGGACCTCCTTCCTCAGAAAAATATTCACGTACACATGCATGCAAGAGTCTGTAAATAACTTCAGGCGATCAGTCAACAGATCCTCCCGAGAGCCATTCGTGGACACCCTGAGGATGGTGGACCCCAGTTTGAGACCACATGCTGTGGAGGTACATTTTCCTGAGAACAGGAAGGGACTCTGTCTCCCCAGTGTAAAGGAGCATGTGTCAGTGGGTGCTTAATAAATAATACAAATTATGAGAGTTGTAATTCTGACCTCGTGTCCATTCCTTTCATTGTCTACGTCTTCCCGGTCAACAGACCCATTACAGGCAAGTGGTGACAGTGGCTAGAATCAAGGGCCAGTCTCTGTCCTGGAGGCAGCAGCACAGAAGGGGTTCCGGAAGACAGAAGGTGGAGACCTTTGCTAACTGGAAGGAAAAATTAGGTAGGGGTCTTCCAGCTTTTTTTCTGTAGGTTTTTCCTCCACTTTGCTTTTCATCCTTTTGACTCCACACTTTTGTGTCTGCTTGACCCCTACATGGTCACCAGAGAAGTCCCGGAAAGTCTTTAAAGCCCCACACAGCATTGCCATGCTAGACCAGGAGCGAGGGCACTCGGGGCAGTCAGCCAGGCCTCTTTCTCTGGCCTGGAGACCCCCGGGTGTCTGCAAAATGCAACCGTCTTACTGGTACCCAAAAGCAGAAACAGCTGCTGTGCTGGGGCCAGGATTCCAGATTCCAGCACCCTGCAGACCAGTTAAAGGCGGTGTTGGGGCTGCATGGGCGCCAGGCAGAGGGTGTCTTCCACACTGCCCAGGCGGGAGGGTGGCATTCCAGCAGAGGGACCGAGGTCTTAAATGCGGGGGCTGACGTGAAACTCGGGCCGTGACCCTGGCCCATCGCCAACATCAGGGGTCACGGATGGATCCCCAGGACCCCGACAGCTGCCCCATCCTCCCCTGCCGCTCCTGCCTGTCCTTGGCTAACTGAACTTGCTGAAATGGAAAGGGCGCCCCACGGACGCCAATTATGGCGAGGAGGCAGCGACCAAGCATAACGGGGATCCTAACGAAGCGCTGTCCAAGGCGAGAGAGGTAGTTCTGCGAGAGCGTGGGCGCCAGAGGGCAGGAGGATACACGGCGCCGACGGACACCCGTGACCACGGGGGCGTTCAGAGGCGGAGGTGCGCGTGCGCAGCACACGCCACGCGCGCGACAGCGTCTCCCCCGCGTACGCAAGCGCACCTTCCCCGCCGCCAGGCCACAAAACTGTGCTGCGTGGAATTCCACGTTGTGCCTGGTGCGCCCGGGAGTTTGCGCGTGCGTATCACGCTGGGGCGAGATTTGGCCGTCAGCCGCGAGCGCTAGGTGGCGTCCTCCGGCTGGGACGCAGCACGCACGCGCAGTGGTTAGCAAGCAGGAAGGGCGGGTGCACGCCACGGGCATGCGCCGTGAGGGGCTCGACGGTGGCTCGCCGAGGTCATTCCGGCGCAGGCGCAGTGCGGTGTTTGTCTGCCGGACTGACGGGCGGCCGGGAGGTGCGCGGCGGCGGCGGCGGCGGGGAAGATGGCGGCGTCCTCCCTGGAGCAGAAGCTGTCCCGCCTGGAGGCGAAGCTGAAGCAGGAGAACCGCGAGGCTCGGCGGAGGATCGACCTCAACCTGGATATCAGCCCCCAGCGGCCCAGGCCTAGTAAGCGCGGCGGCGTGGGGGAGGGGGCGGCGGGGCGGGGCGCGCGCGCCGGAGGCCCCGCCCCCGGAGGCCCCGCCCCCGCATCCGGGCCTCGCGCCTCTCCCGTCCGTCCCCCCAGCTGTCGGTGTGCGGGGCGAGGGTCACCGTGACCCGGGGGGGTGTGGGCCCGGCTGGGGTTGCCCACGCCCGGGGCTTGGGAGCCTCGTTCCCCGGGGCTCAGCGAGGCCCCCCACCTGACGACGCGCCCCCTCCCCGCGGCCGCGGAGCCCTGGGGCCTGCCCCGAACCCCGCTCCCCACACACGCGACGGCGGCCGCAGCGGGGCCCCCCCGTCCGCACACAAGCCCTTGGCCGGACGATTCCGCTCTCGCCGCCTCAGCGACTGTCAGGCGGCCTCTTCTCGGGTCTCTGGGCGCGGGGACCTCTCGGGGTTAGCGGATGGGCCACTGGCTCACGCGCCGGCCGGGGACACCGCGGTCACTTGACCTTGTGCAATCCCACCGTCCCTTTGACCCGGTGATACGCCCACTCCTTCCACTGCTTTCTCCACACTCGACCTACATATGTCAGGTGCCCTCATGTACTTCTGATTAGTTCCACCGCGTCTTGGAGGCTGTGCCTAGCTCCTTCCGAAACACAAATCCAGCCCTCACACCCTCACCTCAAATAATCTCCCCTACCCCATACACCCACACCCACCCGTCCTGAGGACCCTGAGGCCAGTGTCTAGGACTCCCAGCATGCATATGCCTCCTTTCCGATCCCACCACCTCAGCGTGGACCTCCCTGGCATCTGGAGCCAAGAGCTGCTCCCCACACACCCACATCTGGCCAGGGATCACCACGGCCAGATCTAGTCCCTTGTTAAGGTCTCACAAACCCCCTCCCCAACCTCTCGACTGACTCGAGTGAGTATCTCTTGACTGAGTGGATTGTCGTTTACATTCTCTCTGAAATGATCCTCGTAGTTCATGTGGGTGCCTGTGGGTTCATCCTGACAAGGTGAAGACCTCCCACAACTGGGTACTACAGCCACTGCCTGCTCACCTAGCCTGGCCTTCACAGCCTACCCCAGTCCCACTCCCTCCCCCCCCCACGTAGGGTCCACTCTCCATGCCTCCCTCTTCTGACCTGGGTTGACATGCTTCCTCTCTGGGGGGCTAGGGAGGGGGGTCTCTTGAGGAACTAGAGAAAAACCCAGAGGCAGTGCTGGTGTTGGACACCAATTGGGGAAGAAACTGCCAGGACTGAGGGTTTTCGCCGGCATGAGCATGGATAAGACGTCCTGGATCCAGGGCCTGTGGCGTCCTGTGGGGTGGCTGTCTCCGATGCAGAGTGAGGCACAGCAAGGCCCAAGGCGGACAGGCCCCCGAGAAGCCCCCTCCAGGCATCTGTGTCTGTGTCAGCTCCATCCCATCCTCCCATCTCTCTCAGTTTCCACCCATCTCTGCAGTTTGGCACCTCCCCCTCCTCCTCGTTATGATTTGATTTCTTTTCTTTTGGACAAATCAGTTGTTTCTGTTGTGATTTATCGTGGTGTTGTTTTTTTTCTTCCTTCTCCCCATCCAGTTATTGTGATCACTCTAAGCCCTGCTCCTGCCCCGTCCCAACGAGCAGGTACCAGCCTTTTTATCATCGCCGCTTGGACAACTGCACCATTGACCTAACCGCTACCCTAGCCGCAGAATGCCATCCTCATGCTGTGTCTGCGTGTGTGCACGCACGTGCGCGCACATCTTCTCTCACTTTCTCTCCTTCCACACCATCAACTTCCAGCCCTGCCTGGGCTTTACCCTGTGTCCTCTCAACTGCTCCTCCTTCCTTTGGGGCTCAGGTCTGGCCTCCCCAGAGGGGGAATCGGACCCCCTTACTGGTTGGGAGTCCCGGCCAGCCCCACGGGTCCTGAGTGTGTGTGCGTGTGAGTAGGGGAAAATGGGGCCAGGGGATATTTCATTTTACCAATTCAGCCACCGTCTCGCTTCTCGGTGTGCTGTGCCTATCCCGGTGCCGGGGACACAGCAGTGAACACATCAGCCTGTTCTCGTTCCTGGTGTGGCTGCTGCACCACAGGGGGATGCCTGTGAACACTGAGGGCAAGTTGGGGGCCTTGATGCCTGGAGGGAAGACAGGGTAGAGCAGGGTTAAGGGTTTTAAGGGGGACTGGGGGAACTGGAGAAGGAAGCAGGACCTTTGAGCAAGGTCCTGTGGGAGGTGGGGGCAGTCGGGGAAATAGCCTTCTACCTGGTGCTCTCCCCAGGCCTGAGTGCAGCAGGTCCGAGAGCAGGGATGTCAGGGATATGCCTTCAGGTGGGAGGGGGCGAGGGAGAGACATTGGGGTGGGGGCTTGGCCTTGTTGATCCTTGTGTGCACATGGGACTAGGCTGGGGGGTGTAAGAATGGAGGGGACCTGGCTCTTTTGGTACTCTCGCGTATCGCCTGCTTGTGTGTGTGTGTGTGTGTGTACGTGCACGTGCACATTGGGCTGACAGCCTGGTACACCCGTGGCTCCTGTTAACCGTGTCCTCTTTTGTATGTTCTTTCTCTCTCTCTGTCTTTTGCTCACTCTGCTATCCTGACCTGCTGTGTCGCCCATCACCACCTCTGTGACCTCTGTCCTCAGGACCTGTATCTCCCCACAACCTTAGCACTGACTCTCTCTCCTCCACCCCATTCCCCACCTTGCTTCAGTTTGTGGAGCCAACTGGAAGCATCTGTCCCCTGTCACCTTTCTGCAGGCTGGGGGCAGCTCTCAGAAGCCCGAAGGATGGTGCACGGGAGGGGCCGAGGGGCACAGAGACGCATAGCGAGGGTAGGGCTGTGCTCCTTGCCCCAGAGCACTGCCAGTACAGGACAGGAAAGGGGCCCAGAAACCTCCCAAGGGACAAGAACCTGGCAGTGTCCAGAGAGGCAAGGACACTGGCAGGTAGTGCAAGGTGGGGAGCAAAGGGGCTGCTCGGGAACCTCACAGGCTGTTAAGCCAGAGAGGGAGGGATTAGGATTCTGACCAGAGCAGAGCAGAGGTCCGGGGCTTACGAAGTGGGGCTTGGAGCAGCAGAGAGGGTGCTTAGGAGACGAGGTCTCCAGGTCTGTGGAAGGTTCTGGGCCCAGCCATGTCCCCTGGATCACCAGGGCTCTTCCTTTGCTACTGACCTAGCAGGACAGCCCCCTGCTAGTGCCTGGGTGGTACAGCTGACCCTCCCCTGCCCCTGCTCTGGCTGCAGTCAAGATTCTTGGCTGACAGGGCAAAAAAGTGCCCGGCTGCTAACCCCCCAGGCACATGTGTCTCTGCCCTTGGTGACCAGGGGGCCGCGGGGCCGGGGGAGGGGTGACGGACCACGGCAGGATTAGGGAGTGGGGCTTGTCAGCGAGCGGTGTGGGGAATGGTCGCCCCCAGGCCTCCTGGCTCATTTGCCTCGGACCCTGGGGATTGGGGGTTCACTGCAAGATTGTCTGTTTCTCCAGGAACCACACTGGCCTGCACTTCCCTGCCCATTGCCCGCCCCACCCTCCAGGCTCCTGGTCCTCATGGGCCCTGCTCTCTTCTCCTGGGCACACGCCTAGCCTCGCTCTGCAGTGTCTCCTCCGGGTGGCAGGGCTCCAAATCTTGGCTCCCATTTCTGTTTCCTGCCCTCCTGTCCCCTAATACCGCCTGCCCGTCCTGGGGTGTTTGCTGCCTGCCCGCTGCCTGCCTGCCTGCCTGTAGCATGCCCAAGCTGTCCGCATGCAGGCTGCTGGAAAGAACCAAACCCCGCCATCTCCAGTCCCGTCAGCCCCTGGTGTGGCAGTGCTGCCCGAATCCCCTTACCCAAAAGACACAGGCCCAGCCTGCGGCCCTGCTCCTGTCCCTGCTGGCCCAGCTCTGCGGGTCAGGCTGGGAGGCTCAAAGGTCCGCCTGTTGGCTAAAGGTGGCCTTCCCTCACCCTGGGTCTGAATGCGGGGCTAGGCAGCCAGAAGGCTGGGCCCCTCATCCACCAGGCCCCCAGGGTGGTCTGGCTCACTCTTACTAGGCAGCCAGGTCCAGTGCTGCCAGCAGGGCCAGAGCCCAGGCTTGGGGGGCATTCCCTCGCCATGTGGCCAGATGAACACCTGACCGGGGCTGGCTTCCGGGGCAGCGGAGGGAAGGCAAGGGAGATGCCAGGAGGGCCTTCTGGCTAAGGGGTACCATCAGCTCCCAGCGCCTGGGCCTCTTCTCAGTCAGCATAGTCTTGGGGATGAACCCTCAGCCTCTGGAAGAGACCCTCCCCCGGCCAGCCCACTCGATCTCCTTCCAGGTCAGGTGGGTGGGAGAAGGCACCTTAAGAGTTGTACAGGGGTAGGGGAGAGATCCTAGTTCCTGTAGCCCTGGGGGTGGGGTGAGAGCTATACCAGCCTACCTGAGGGATTCCACAAGAGGGAGGATGTGGGTCCCGAGTCCCCAGAGTGTCAGCCCTAGAGCTGGGACCAGCTGGGTGCTAACCCCCTTCCCACCCCTGGTTCTCACCCCCCTAGCCCTGCAGCTCCCGCTGGCCAATGATGGGGGTAGCCGCTCACCGTCCTCAGAGAGCTCCCCGCAGCACCCCACACCCCCCGCCCGGCCCCGCAACATGCTGGGGCTTCCATCCACCTTGTTCACACCCCGCAGCATGGAGAGGTGAGCTGTTACAGTGGGCCAGTTGGCCAGCAGGGGTTGGGCATCAGCCTGGGCGCTGAGTCAGGGGCCCTCAGGGAGGAGGGGGGCTCCATCTGTGGGAACCCCCGTGTGTTGGCAACTGGGGAGGTGGCATCAGGGTGGTCAGCACCCCTCTCCACCAGCACCCGCTCCCTGTCCCTCCAGCATTGAGATTGACCAGAAACTGCAGGAGATCATGAAGCAGACGGGCTACCTGACCATCGGGGGCCAGGTACTACCTTCCCTTAACGCCGGGAGCGGGTGGTGAGCCGCTCTCACAGTAGGGCCCAAGGGGGTGTGGGGGGCCAGAGACCTTGCCGGCCCTGCAGCCCTGGCTCTCCTCACCAGCGCTATCAGGCAGAAATCAACGACCTGGAGAACCTGGGGGAGATGGGCAGTGGCACCTGTGGCCAGGTGTGGAAGATGCGTTTCCGGAAGACGGGGCACGTCATTGCTGTTAAGGTCAGCCCCCGCCCCGCCTGGGTGTGTCCCTCTCCCCTCTCCCCTCGCTGGGGCTAAGGTTCCGCCTGACCACCCTGTGCAGCAAATGCGGCGCTCGGGCAACAAGGAGGAGAACAAGCGGATCCTCATGGACCTGGACGTGGTGCTGAAGAGCCACGACTGCCCCTACATCGTGCAGTGCTTCGGGACCTTCATCACCAACGTGAGTGCCCTGCTGCCCTCCCGTGGCCACCCCGGAGCCCCTCCTCCCAGTCAGAGCAGCCCGTGCCCCAGGCCCCTCTCCCCTGGGACGAAAGCCCCATGCCCCCGCCTGCCGCCCACAGACAGACGTGTTCATCGCCATGGAGCTCATGGGCACGTGCGCTGAGAAGCTCAAGAAGCGGATGCAGGGCCCCATCCCTGAGCGCATCCTGGGCAAGATGACGGTGGCGGTGAGCCGTGGGCAGAGGCGCTGCCGGGTGGGGGGCCCCCAGCTCCATTCCCCGTCACACGGCCCCCTGTCCGTGCGCAGATCGTGAAGGCGCTCTACTACCTGAAGGAGAAGCACGGCGTGATCCACCGCGACGTCAAGCCCTCCAACATCCTGCTGGACGAGCGGGGCCAGATCAAGCTCTGCGACTTTGGCATCAGCGGCCGCCTCGTTGACTCCAAGGCCAAAACCCGGAGTGCCGGCTGTGCCGCCTACATGGCGGTGAGCGCGGGCCCTGGCCGGCGGGCTCCTGGGTGGCACAGCTGCCTTGGCCACAGCTACATCCTCCCTTTCTCCCACCGCAGCCCGAGCGCATCGACCCCCCAGACCCCACTAAACCTGACTACGACATCCGGGCCGACGTGTGGAGCCTGGGCATCTCATTGGTGAGTTGGGGCTCCTCTTCCCAAGGACTGGGGTGACTCCTCAGTGGAGAGGGGGAGGGAGCAAGAGAGGGCACTAACCATCCACGGCGTCCACGCGTCCGTGTGTCCCCAGGTGGAGCTGGCGACAGGACAGTTTCCCTACAAGAACTGCAAGACGGACTTTGAGGTCCTCACCAAAGTCCTGCAGGAAGAGCCCCCACTCCTTCCCGGTCACATGGACTTCTCAGGGGACTTCCAGTCCTTTGTCAAAGACTGGTGAGGAGCCCTGCGCCGGCCCTCTGCTCTGGGCAGCGGGGTGTGGCCCGGTGCCTCTGTCCTCCGCAGTTGGGGGGAGCGAGAGGGCAATGGGAAGGGGTGGGCGCAGCTGCGGGAAGAAGGGGGGTGCAGTGGAGGTGCAGGCGGGAGGCGGACCCTTACTCTGGGAGCCCTGAGTCGGGTTTGGACCCAGCCTGAGAGGAGAGCTGGCCCCGAGGGCTTGGCGGCGTGGCTCCGCGGCTTCGCCATGCGGCTGTGACCAGCAGGTGCCCCAGGGCGCTAAGTGTCCCGCACTGACCGGCAGGGTCGCACGTGCCACGTGTTCCCATGCTATCTCCCTCGGGCCCCCCACCCATCTTTCCCGTGGTAGCCTCAGCCATTCGGCCCCCATCGCAGACCGAATGCTGTGTGCAGACACCTGGTTCTGAGCCGATGAGCCAGGCCTCCTGCACCCCGCCCGGAGACTTCTGGGCTGCACGGCCGGGCGGGTCCCAGCTGTCCCCGCAGGCATCGGGGACACGGCGGCTCCTGCCTGCAGACCTTGCGACGTGGCTCGGGAGGGTGGCGAGCACCAGCTGCTCCCGCAGGCGCTCACTTCTCTCTCCGCCTCCTCCTCCTCTCCAGCCTTACTAAAGATCACAGGAAGAGACCAAAGTATAATAAGCTACTTGTGAGTACCGGCCCCTTCCCCTCCCTCCCTGCTTCCCGGCCCGCGGAACACCTGTCGCTGAGCCGGAGGCCGGCAGGGAAGGTGTCCTCACCCTGAGCCCCACCCCTCGGGCCCCGCAGGAACACAGCTTCATCAAGCACTACGAGACTCTGGAGGTGGACGTGGCGTCCTGGTTCAAGGACATCATGGCGAAGACTGAGTCGCCGCGGACTAGTGGAGTCCTGAGCCAGCACCACCTGCCCTTCTTCAGGTAGCTGTGCGGTGGCGGCCAGCCCCGCCGGGGCCAGGGGTGTGGCCACAGGCCCTCCCTTCCCCACTCGGCCACCCAGCTGCCCGCAGGGGAGACCTGGGACCTGGACGGCCCCCGAGGGCTGAGGACAGAAAGTAGGGGCGCCGACCCACCCCCGACTCCCTGCCCATCAGCCGTGGACAGATGGGCCTACCAGACCCCAGCCCTCCCTGTCCCGGGTCAGCGGCCCTGCGCATCCCCTGACAGACACTGTGAATGGAAGACAGCAGGCCGCGAGCAGACTGGCTATTTATTCAGTGTAACCTCTGGGCTGGGGCAGCCCCAGGGGCCGGGAGCCACCAGTCCTGCTCCCACCAAGTGCTGTCCGCTCCACCTTACCCCACGCACGCTCCGTGTCGCCGCCTCCCCGTCACCTCCCTCTCTACCTCTCTGGCTCTCCCTGTCTCCCTCCCTACCTCTGCCTCTCTGGCCCCTGGCTCTGCCACCCCAGGCAGGACTCCTGCCTTTGGGCTTAGGTCCCCGGGGAGTGAGCCAGTGGGTTGGCGACATCGGCCCAAGAAGGCGGACTGGGCATGGTGGCTGCAGCCGACCGGGCAGGTCTCTCTCGCTTGCGCGCTCTTTGATCTCAGGGGGTCCTTTTTGGAGTTTATTGTATTTTATTGTACTTGGTGGGGTATTTGGGGGTGGGGGGGCGACGAGCTTGTTCTCATGGTATTTGTCGGTACCTTCAGAAACTTTTACCAAAGTCATGTTTAGCTGCTTTTGGTGGGGCCCCCAACTGCCTGTGGGCGCCGGGGGCCTGGGCCACGGAGCCTCGGCAGCCCTTGCCTGGGAGAGACATGTCCCAAAGGTGGGCTCTAGGGGGGCTCCACCTCCCTTGGGACTGGAGACTGGCCACAGCTTGGCGGGTGAGTTGAGGACCTCAGGGGACGCAGAGGGAGCCCAGGGGCCATGGCCACACAGGATGGCCTTCAGGGAAGCTGGGTCGGGGTGCGGTGGAGAGCACCAGATGCTGTGTAGCAGGGAGGCATTAAGGGCGTTGATGACTTGGGGGGCTGTGAGGCCAGGGAGAGGATCCTCAGAGGCGGGATCGAGGGGCAGGAGTGGATGTGTGGGTTGGAGGACGTGTGGCAGGGATAGAGGTGGGACAGGCCAAGGGCTGGGCATATGCTAACAGCCATGCTTGCATAGGGCCCCTGAGCGCCCCTGGACTCCCCCAGAGCTGGCCAGTCCCCAGCCTGCCTGGAGTCCTAGGCTGAGGTGCCTGCAGCCCTCTGAGGCCGCCAGAGCAGTGGGGGTTGTGTTTCCTTTTTGTTGGTGATGCATGCAACTTAAGTGGACGACAAAACGAAACAAAAAAAAAACAAAAATAAGAAAACCCCATAAAAACCAACCAACACCAAAGGTTAGGAACCTCGCTGGATGTAGCTGAAGCAGTCTGTACGTAGGCACACTCTCCTCAATCACATTGACTATTATATTCACAAATGCCGCATGTTTAAAACGTACTAGAAGTCATTTTCTCTCTGCTCCCCCTCCGCCCTCTCCTCCACCACCCCCCCAACAGGGGTGGAGATGCCACCTTCTCTTGCCCTGAGTCCCCTTTGTGAGGGGATGTGAGCCCGGTGGGAGACCAACAGGCCTGGCCCCCACCCTCCCTCTGTGGGCGTAGCCGCGGGGCTTTTGCAGGTGGCTGGAAGTTGCTTGGCTGGGCCCAGGACGGGTACAGACCCGAGGCTGGGCTGCCCAGTTTGTTTTTATTTAACTTTGTTTCTTATCTTTGTGAGTGTGGGTCCACCTGCCTCTCCCGTGTCCCCCCTCTGTTACCTGTCACCAGCCATCCCTCCACCAGGCAGAGGGCGGTCTGGGCAGGGGCCTGGGGCAGCCCGCTGGCCCTTGATCTTCTCAGGCTGCCAGTATTGCCCCACCCCCACCCCAGTCCCTTTTTAAAACAAAATACCCTCCTTTGTAAATCCTTAGACTCTTGAGAATAAAACCCCTCCCTTTTCTTCCACTGAGTCTGTGGTGTGTCATCAGCCTGGTAGAGAGAGGGGAAGGGCCCATGAACCCTCAACGTGGTGGAATGAGGGATTTGGGGGTGCGGTGCCATTTTGGTAACTGACTGCATAAAGGGGGGGCAGGCAGGATTGGGGCTGGTGTTTGTTGTGACTGGCCTCATATCAAATGGCTGGTGTGCAGGAAATTCTCCCCAATAACCACAGCTAGGGCTGGACAGCAGCCCTTAATCCCTGCAGGCCTTGGGTGCTGCCTCTGATGTGGGGCCTCCGCCCCCGCTCCGTGCTTCCCTGGTGACTGCCCAGCCAAGGACAGGGTCACCTGCCCACCTGTTGCATCTGGGTGCTGCCCTGCTGGCACCTGTGTTGCTGGCCCCCACACACTTCAGCCGGTATGCTGGGTGCCACGCTTCTGATGCTGGCCTTGCTCCTGGGGACCTCCGCCTCGCCCAGTGGGCCACCTGGTACGTAGGGGCTGGGGACCCAGTCCATCACTGCCATCCTGTTGCTCTTCCCTAGCTCAGCCTTTCACCCAGCCTGCCTGAGGGGACAGTTGGGTGGGAAGTGGGGGCTGCCCCTGACCCCTTTCTAGGTTGTCTTGGATCCCCAGCTTCTCCAAAGACCCCAGCAGCCATGGCGAGGGCAAGGGCTGCGGAGGGAGCAATGTGCAAGCGCTGCCAGGAGATGCCACGCAGGAGCCCCTGCGCACCTTTTGGCAAGGACCCCAGCCTGGTGTCTCCTGAAAGCCCACACCTGCATGTCTGTGTGCACCACCTTGGGGCTCCCTGTACTGTCACTGCCCGCAGCCTGCAAGTGAGGCGGGATCTCCACAAACCTGGCGTGCCCTAGATTTGTGTTACCTCGGGGGTTGGGCTGGGGGGAGAGTAACAGCCCGTTGACAGCATGCTCTGCTCGCTCCCCACCACCCCCTGAGAAGGCAAGGTGGTGCCTGAGGCCTGCGCTCAGGCTGTAGAGCGTGCTGAAGGACAGAACCCTTAGACCTCACCCCACCCGCGCCTCTACCACCAGGCCCTCCTCAAGGCCTCCCCCATCCCGGGAATTTCAGCCGCAGCTGGTGGCGAAATCAAGGCACCTGCTCAGGGGCGCACAGCTTTGTTCTGGGCTGGGATGCCCTGGGATTTCCTGGGGGCACATCACGGCTGCTGTTTTGCCAGCGGTGACCTAGACCCAAGCCAAGCCCCGACACAGCGTCACGTTCATAAAGGGGCCGCGCGGCTAGGAGCGCGGGGCATCTGCCCGCGGGCCCAAGGGGCAGCGCGTCCTCCCCTTGCGCCACCCTTTCTCTCCGCCCTGCCCCCAGTATCCGCCTTCCCGGTGGCGCCGGGGCCCTGGCTGCGCAGACCCCTTTTCAGTCTGGAGCTGTCGGACGCGGAGGACGCCTTCCCGCGCCGCGCGGGGCCGCTCGAGGTGCCCGCGGACAGCCGCGTGTTCGTGCAGGTGCTGACGCGGGCTCGCCGCGGGCGGGCGGGCGTGGTGAGGGCCGGAGAGCCTGACTGCGACCCACCCCCAGGCGGCCCTGGCCCGACCCTCCCCGCGCTGGGGCCTGGCCCTGCACCGATGCTCAGTGACACCGTCCTCGCGCCCGGCCCCGGGGCCGGCCTTGGCGTTGCTGCGCGAGGGCTGCCCCGCCGACCCTGCGGTCACCTTCCCGCCGCCGCCGCCGCGCCCGGGCGCTGCCCGCCCCGCGCGCTTCAGCTTCCGCCTGCGCCCGGTGTTCAACGCCTCGGTGCAGTTCCTGCACTGCCAGATGAGCCGCTGCCGCCGCCTCCGGGGAGCCCGCCCGGCGCCCGCGCCTCTGGCGCCGTCTCCGTCGCCCTCGCCGGTGCGCCCGCTGCCAGCGCAAGGCCTGGGGCCTCCTCCGGGGCGGGCACGAGCGCCGCGGGCACCTGAGGGAGGGGCCGGGAGCTTGGGGGCCTGGGGGGTGGGGAGTTTTGGAACCTGGGGCAGGGGCTCCGCAGCGCACGGGGAGCGGGCGCCGGGTTCCGCCGGGGCCGGCGCGGGTGGGTGTTCTTCCGCCGGCCCTGAGGTCCCTGCGGCCCGGGAGGCAGGTGCTCATGAAGCCCCGCATCTTGGGGCACTGGGTGTGGCCGGTTAGCGCAGCTGAGCGTCCTCCCATGGTGCCCGTGGGCGGGGGCTTGGCTGCTGACGTGTCTTAGGGCTTGGGCTCAGGGACCCCCAGGGGTCGGGTGTTCAGGGGTCTGATAACGAGGCTCCTGGTTGCAGCTCTTGGGTCTACACCGGGAACCTCCGACCGACGTCGTGACTCTCCCCTCCCCCACCCCCAGTGCCTCCCGCAGGACGAGGCGTGCGCGGGCTCGCGCGGGGGCAGCGGCGAGGGCCTGGGTGCGGACAGCCCGCACCTGCACACGCTGACGCAGCCCATCGTGGTCACCGTGCCGCGGCCGCCCCCCAGTGAGCCGCAGTCCTCTTTCGCGAGGGTTCCCTGGGGCCTGGGAGGTGGGCTCGCGGTGACTCTGGGGCCCGGATCAGTCTCAGCGTTTTTCTCCCACAGGGCCACCCAAGGGTGTCCCCGGCAAAGTCGTGCGACCGGAGCCACCTGCTCTGGCCCCGGCGGCCCTGGAGCCGGCGCCGGTGGTGGCGCTCGTGTTGGCTGCTTTCGTGCTGGGCGCAGCGCTGGCTGCCGGGCTCGGCCTTGTCTGCGCGCATTCAGGTACCAACCGCCGGGACGTCCGTCGGGCGCTCGGCCTCGTCCCACGGGTCCGGACCCGAGTTCACGCGACCTCAGCCGACACCCCTAGACCGGCCGCTGCTCTGCCTGCGGCAACCCCCAGGGGGCACTCTTGCAAGGGGCCCCGCGCGCTGCAACCCCTACTGCTTCGCAGCCTGCCTCTTCCTTCCAGGGTCCCCGCCCCCCGGCCTGCCCCCAAGAGCACCGCCCAGTGGCCCCCAGCCCAGGAGGCACCAGTGAGACAGGTAGTGGGGTGTGTGTGTGTGTGTGTGTGTGTAGGAGTGTAATGTGCGCTGGTAGGAACACTGTAAGAAGGAGGTGCTGATAATGGCTCTTGACAGTGCCTTCTGTGCCAGGTAATGTTTTAAATGTCATATCCCTAGTAACTAATTTAACCTAAAGACAACTTTCAGGTTAGTGTTATAATCCCCGTTTTAGAGATGAGAAAAATGAGGCATTCTCTGAAGTTAAGCAACTTGTCAATGTGGTGGCGCTGGGATTGGAAGCAGCGGGTCACCTGTGGCCGACTGTGCTCTGTGTCCCAAGAGTGGCCCTCAAATCTCTGACAGCCTCTAAGCGAGAACATGGGAGTCAGACCCTTACCCGACACACATACTGACGGAGGAGGCCTATGATGGACTGGGGGGGGGGTCTGCCTAATATCCTCTCCTTTGCTCAACTGGGGTGCCCCTTCCCAGGTGTGATGTGCCCCCAGGAGGGTCTGGAGACAAATCAGCCACGGTCATGGGCCAGGCCTGTCAGTACTGGACCGGCCGCATCGCACTTCGGATCTGATGGTACCACAGTTCCTGTGCCCTGCCCTCTGCCCCCATGCTCCTACCTGGGCTCAAAATAAACCTCTGGTCTGACCTGCTTAGTTCTGAAGTCCATGTAGGATGGCGGTGCTGGACCAGGGGACCGGAAATGGAGGCCTGGGACTGGAGGGATTCAGGCGCAGGGCTTGGGGAGGGGGTTCACACGCCATACACGCATGTGCGGGTAGCGCCAGGGGAGACCAAAGAAAGGGTGCTGGAAAGGAGAGGAGCCACGAGTATCAGACTGGAACAGGCTTTATTTGACGAATGCCTGTGAGGGGCGATTCTCGGTGGCTGCAGAGTGAGAATCGCGACTCAAAATGGGAAGAGCAGGGCTTTATAGGGTTAGCCTTTGGCAGGAATATTTTTGGCGCGGGAGGGCGGAGGGGTGCGGGGTCTCTCCTGCCGGGAGGGTCTGCTGGCGTTACTTACCCTGGGCCAGTTCTGCTGGCATCGTTTACGGTTGCCAGCTTTACCTCTGATTCTGCTCATCTCGGGTCCCCTGGTGCCTGGCCGTGCTGTTGTAGAGCAACCCCGATACAAAACGGGGTGCTCAGGACATCATTTCCCCCTGACAGTGCGGGTTTAGAGGGGGCCGTTGGTGCTCTCCAAAGCGTTGTCCCAACACAAAATGACACCCACCCCCACCAGCTCCAGTGTGAGATAAACTCCTCCGCCTCCCTCCACCCTTCTGCCCTCAGCAATATTCCCAAGACTAGGCCTTCTCGGACCTCTGGTCTCTGTCCGGTCTCCTCTCTCGTCTGGTTTTCTCCCTTCCCGCGTGTAGGCAAGGGCGGGACTGCTGGCTCCCTATCCCAGGTGAGGCGCTGAGGCTCGGCAAGCCTAAACCCTCCTGCGGTCCCCAGCCCAGGCTCTCCGGCCAGGCACCACCCCTCTGCGGGAGGCGAGGCCGCACACGCAGGGGTTTCACAGAACTAGCCCAGGAGTAAGAGGCGGGCGCGCGATCGAAGGCCCCGGCTCCAGTTCACGAGCGAGCCGGCGGCCTAGCTCGCCCCGCTAGGGCCCCGACGGGCGCCCCGAGCACCCCGCGCGAGGCGGCTCCTCCGGCTCGCTCCGACCGACGCAGACACGCCGTGCGCTTCCGCTTCCGCGAGGGCCTCTGGCCCCGGCGGCTTCCGTAGCCCCGCCCACCAGCGCGGGCGCCGCGGCCACCGGCATGAAGCCCCCGCCGCGGCGGCGAGCGGCCCCGGCGCGCTACGTGGGCGAGGAGACCGGCCCCGCGGCCTGGAGCGCCCGCGAGAAGCGGCAGCTTCTGCGCCTCCTGCAGGCGCGGCGCGAGCAGCCGGAGCCGGACGCCTGCGAACTGGCCCGGGAGTTGCCGGGCCGGAGCGAGGCCGAGGTGAGGGGCCCCGGGAAAAAAGCCAGACTAAAGTGGTGCCAAAGGCCGGCCCGTTCGGACGGCGGCCCAGGGGCTCGGAGGGCGGCGCGGGGGGCGGCGCGGGGGGCCCGCGGAGCACCCGCGACCGGGAGCGGTGTCGTGCGCGCGGCGGAGGGGCGGGGCGGCCTGGAGGAGCCACCTGAGCGGGCGGGGCGGGGCGAGAAGACGCCGAGGGGCGGGGTGGGCGTGGCCACGGGAGGCGGGTGGGCGTGGCCGCGGGGAGGCCCGCGGGGCGGTGCCTCCGGGGAAGGCGGGGCGGGGGCGGGGCGAGCGGGAGGCCGTGCTTGCGAAAGGCGGGGGGCGGGGCCGCGCGCGTGCAGCCCGAGGAACCCGAGGAGGGCGGAATTGGTCCAGGCTGGGGCGGGGCGACCTTGGCCTTGAGGTTGGGGGCGTGGGCGGGGTGCGCGGGACGGGGGGGGGCGGGGCGAGCTCAGTTTAGGGAGCGGAGCCCGGTATTGGGCGGGAACGGGCTTAAAGTGGGAGCCTGGAAATGGGATGGGGTGTTCGCAGTGGGGAGAGGAGTGGGGCGTTGCCCAGGTGCGCCCCTGGGCCGCAGTCCGAACGGGCCGGCCTTGCCTCTTCTCACACCTGCGGAGCTGGGCACAGGGACCCGGCCTCGGGCAGGTTGGGGCCTCTCCCGCTCCCTGGGCTTATTCCACACCCTCCTTACCCCTCCCCAGATCCGGGACTTCCTCCGGCAGCTCAAGGCCCGCGTGGCCCGGGAGGCCATTCAGAGGGTGCATGCGGGTGGCCCCCAGGGCCCAAGGCAACGAGGAACGCAGACCCCAGCCCCCATTGAGGTGAGGCAGGCCAAAGTTTCCCAGGGCTGGTCATTAGGGGGTGGGGTGGCCCTTAGGGGGTAGAGTGTGAGTTGGGAGGGGGGGATAACCTGCTAAGGGGTGCCCCAGAACTTGGGATACCCCTGAAGGTTGATCCCTACCTAGGCTGATGTGTACTTCTGGCTGCCTCACCCAGGTATGGATGGATCTGGCTGAAAAGATAACAGGTCCTCTGGAGGAAGCGCTGACCGTGGCTTTTTCACAGGTAAGGCACCCCCTAGGCAGGTTGGAGGGTCTCCCAGGGGGCAGGGTTATATGTCCCCTTGTTAGCTCTGTGACCCAGCCTGCCACTGGATACCCTGAGCTCCAGTGTCTGTCCTGCCCGGGATGTCCTCAGGGTGATAGGAAAGATGTGGTGAGCAGGTTGGGATGGAGGGTGCATCTGCGTGGCAGGGGGTAGCAGATGGGAGGACTTCCCATTTCCTCCCTGCTCTCTCTGCCTACCAGGTGCTCACCATCGCAGCCACAGAACCCATCAGCCTCCTGCACTCCAAGCCCCCCAAACCCACACAGGCCCGTGGACAGCCACTGCTCCTCAGCACCCCTGGAGGGCAGGAGAATCAGAACCCTCAGACCCCAGGTCCTGCCCCCGAGACCCTTCAGCCTACCCCTGGTCCTGTCCCTGAGACCCTTCAATGCACCCCTGGTCCTGCCTCTGAGACCCTTCAGTGCACCCCTGGTCCTGCCCCCGAGACCCTTCAACCCACCCCTGGTCCTGCCCTCCAGACCCCTTGCCCTGCCCCTGTGCCACCATCCAAACCTCTGACGGGCTCCTCCACTACGGAGGATTTCGCTGTGGACTTCGAGAAGATCTACAAGTACCTGTCATCCATCTCCCGCAGCAGCCACGGCCCCGAGCTCTCTGCAGCTGGTGAGTAGGATGGGAAGGCCGGGCCTGTGTGCATGTGGGGGTGGGGAGGTGCTTCCTGGTCCAAGCCTGCCCTCCCTTCACCCCACCCATCTCCATCCAGAGTCAGCTGTGGTCCTTGACCTGCTCATGGCCCTTCCCGAGGAGCTGTCGCACCTGCCCTGCGGTGCCCTGGCCGAGCATATGCTGGACATGTATGTGCACCTGACTGCCCCCCAGGCCCACCCAGCTGGCGGGAGCCTGGGTCCCGAGGCTGAGGACTCTGGGGCAGGCTCCATGGGGCAGGAGGCAGCTTGCCAGGCCATCCCTCAGGCCCGTGAGGACGCCGGGCTCAGTGAACCAAGATCTGCCTGGCAAGCAGCCGGGGTCTGTCCCCTGAACCCCTTTCTGGTACCCCTGGAGCTTCTTGCCCGGGTGGCCACCCCTGCAATTTGAGGGTCCTGGGCAGAGGACACACCAGACACCTATGAGCTCCCTGACCATCCTATTCAGGCTGGCACTGGGCTGTCCAGCGCCACAGGTCATAGCTCATGACATGGTCCTTAGTGTGGAGTGGCCTTTAAGGTGCTTGGCACGGCGGGGGTAGGAAGTCACATCCTGTACTACAGGGTTTCAGCCACAAGACTGGGGGCGGGCAGCAGTGAGGCAGCTGGACCCCAGTCACCATCCACTGTTGCGCACACTCCCCCTGTGCCTGTGTCCTGCGTCCTCTGTCCTTGACTGAATAAAGCTCTGGTCTGTCTGCCCCTGATTATTTTTCTTGTAGTTAAATTTGTGGGTGGGGGCCTGACGTGCCAAAGGAGAAGCAGGAGGAGGGAAGATGGAGCTCAGGATCCTGGGGACAGGTGGTGGGCAAGCAAGGGGAAGGGTGTGCTTGCTGGTCAGGGCTGCTGCCGCAGGCGCTTGGCCAGGAGTGGCCACAGTGATCGTGGGGGGCTGAGGCCAGAGTCTGGAGCTGACAGGTCCAGGGAAGGGTTGTTGGGCTGGGGCTAAGGCTTAGTGCTGGGCTGCCCAGTGTGGTAGATGAGAGAGAGGGTCCCTGAGGTGACCTTGGGGCTATGAGGGGGAAGAACAAGACCAGAGTCCTGGCCAGTGCCAAGGGCCCCAAGTTCCCGGTTCCTTCCTGCAGGGTCCCTGGGGCTCGGGGTTCAGGTGCTCATTCTAGGGAGACTGGGGCGGGAACCAAGTGTCCTCCCACTGCGCTTCCTTCTCCATCTGAACAAGCCCTCCGAGAGCTTGTGGGGCTGGTGTGTTCACGCAGCCTTCCTTTTATAGAAACACTCAATTCTCCCCACACACGCTGCACACGGCTCCCTCAGGGCACACAACACATCTTTCCAGGCAGGCGGGAGAGCGAGCCAGCCCACTCCATGCTCACAGCCACATGGCACCAGACCCAGGCTTCCACAGTGCGCGCGATGGCGGCTGGAGGTGTGGAGCTGGCTGCCAGGCTGCTTCCAGCGCCAGGAGGCCGTGCCAGTTCTTGGAGACAGGCGCCAGGACTGGCTGAGGGCACCCCATCTCCACTCCCCAGCAGGCTGAGCCATCCCGTGACCCCTAGAGTCTCCCCAGGTCCTGCAGAAATGGGGGTGGGGTCTTGGCCTTGCCTGGAGCTGGGGAAAGGGGTAGGTCACACATCAGACCCCCAAAGCTTGGGTCTGAGTGTCGAGGCACTGGCTGGTAAGAACAGGTGTCAGACCTCGATTCAAATTCCCACGCGGCTGGGCTAGAATCCAGCCACTTAGCACGGGAGTCACTCGCTGCCTGGCCCTCGGGCCCAGGGACCTGTGGAATGTGGGCGCCAGCAGGACGTGCGCAGGGTCCTGAGCAGGAGCCCCAGCTCCGACAGGAGGCGCAGTAAGCGGTCAACAGCTTTTATTATCACCAGCGGCTCAGAGGCGGGGAGGTCTTAAAAGGCATGGGGAGGGCGCTGGGGGAGCGGGGCCCGCAGGGTGGAAGAGGGCCTGGGTCGCCCGGGGTGGGGGGGGGGCACCGCGCAATCTGGACACAGCAGCCCTGGGAGCGCTTCAGGAAGGTCTCCTGAGCCGGCTGCTCCCGCGCGCGGGTGTGCAGCGCCCACCGTGTGGGCCCAGGAGAGTGTGCCCGGCCGGCGGTGCCCAACACTGATGGAGGTGGGGGGCGGGGGGCGGGTGAGGATGACCAGATCACAGAGGGGGGCGGCGGCACGAGGGGCTCCCCGCCTTCAGGAAGCGGCATGACGCTCACGCTCGGCAGCACATCAGCTGAGACACCTGCACGCGGGCGCGGGGTCCCCTTCCCGCCTGCGCTTCGGAGGGGGCAGCCGCTGGATTACCGGGCGGGGACAGGACCGGGAAAAGGCACAAAGTGGGGCCGGGAGCTGCAGGAGGGAAGATGGGAGGGGCCTGGGGCGGGTCTGACTTCAAGGGCCCTCGGCCCCGGACCGCGCGGGGGCCGGGATCCCGAGCGCAGCCCCGGCCTGCCGGCGCCGCGGGCGGGGCGGTCTCGGGGACGAGGCCCGGCCGGGGGCCCGCCCGCGGCGCCGCGCCCCTCACACCAGCGCGTAGTCGAACTGCCCGCGCTCCAGTGCCTCCTTGTGGTCGGTCCAGGACGAGGCGGGCATGCGGCTGTAGGGGTCGAGCAGGATGCGCACGCAGCGCACCATCAGCAGCACGAGCACCACGAGCAGGCACAGCACGAAGGCGAACACCGTGCGCTGCTCCGCGTCCAGGCCCGCGCCCACCGGGGGCCCCGTCGACGGCGGCAGCGGCTCGGGCGACAGCGTCCACGCCGCGCTCATGGCTCACATCGCCGCGCGCCCTGCGGAGGGGGGTCCGGCTCAGGGCGCGGGGAGGAGGCGGCGCCCCCGGCCCTCGCCAGCGTCCCCCGCGCCGCCGCGCCCCGCCCGCGCCCGGCGGGCCCCGCCCGCGCCCCCGGCCCCCGCCCCGCCCCGCCCCGGCCCGCGGGCGCGCAGCCCCTGCCGCGCGGGGACCCAACTCCGGGCGAGCGCGCAGGTGGGGGCGCCGGGGCGAGGCGCAGCCCCGACCCGCCGGGTCCGCGCACAACAGGTGTGAACGCGCGGCCGCCGCCCGCTCCCTTTGTTCTCCGCGTCGCGGGGACCCCCTCCCCCGGCCCCCGCCCCGGCGCGCCCCTCACCCTGGCCTCGACCCGGACCGGGACGGACCGCCCGGCGGCCGTGTCTCCTCCGGGCCCGCGCCGGCTCTCGGCCCCTCGCTGGCGGCGGCGGCGGCGTCCGGGCTGCGCCCACCCTGCCCGCCCCTGGCGCGGCGGAGAGCGAGGCAGGCGGCGGGCGCGAGCCGGGCCGCCGCGGCTGTTCCCATGGCGACGGGGGGCGGGGCGCCGCGGGCGGGGGGGCGGAGGCTGCGCAGGGAGCGGCGCGGGCCCGCGACCCCGCCCCGGACTCGGGGAGCGCGGAGCCCACCGCCCGGCCGCGGGCGCCTGGGGGGGCCAGAGCCCCTGCGGCCCCGGAGCCCCGAGGCCGTCGCGCCCCCACCCCAGCGCGCCCCACGGACGCCCCCGGCCCTCCAGCCCCACGTCCACATTCCTTGCCCCCAAACATCGCTCATTGGGCGCCCAGGCTCCCGGGCTCCGCGAATCCGACTCCAGCCAGGCCCCTGAAAAGCCTGGTTTCGTCACGGGCGACTTCCCCAGCTCCGCCCCACTCCCCAAAGGGTTCTGACCCGCAAGGGGACCCCCTCTGAGGCTGCAGTGCGTGCAGTGATTTTGATTGACGTCCCACCACCCAACCGCCCCTCCCCCCCGCAGTGACAGACATCTGGAGCCAACCAGGTTGCGTTCCTGTACTTGGTGGTTTATTTCCAAATTCCAAGCATGTGCACAGGTACAGGAGCATGGTTTAAAAAAAAAGTGGAGCTAAAATGGCCTGGCCCACGCGGTCGCTCTGAGTGCCAGGCCCAGGCAGCCCTCCGCTGCCCCAGCGGGGACTCCCGGGCCTGGAGCTCTTGGCACTGTCTGCCCGGCAGAGAGGCCCCAAAGACCCGCAGCCCCTCCTCCTCCGACAGAGGCAGTGGGGAGCGCTGTACAGCGCCCCGGCAGAGCGGGCAGCACCCACAGTCCCATCCCCCACGGTCTGCTGCAGCTGATGGACACGGGTCCCGTGTGTCTACTGTGGTGTCTTGCTCGGAGTCCCCGTCGGGGGTCTCGCTCAGAGGACCTGCTCTGTGCTGGAGGCGGAGATGTCCAGGAGCCGCCAGGCCGCGTAGGGGTTGAGCTCATCCTGGTCCCGGCAGAGCGCCCACACGTAGAGCATGCGCAGCACCTTGTCCTGCAGAAGCGGGCAGGGTGAGGGGAGGCAGGGCAAGACAAGGCTGTGGGGTCAGAAGGCGGGGAATGCTTGGCAGGATGGGGTAAAGGTGTTAGGCTGTCAGCCTGGCTCTGGGGTTCAGAGAAGAGTGGTCCACCGTACAGCTCAGGGGTGGTCAAACAGGACAGGTCCCTCACTCCCCCTCACTCAGCCCAACTGTGGCCCTACACGCTGAGCAGCTATCAGACCAAGGTGGTCAGAGGCCGCGCCCACCCGCCACCTGGGTCCTCCCCTCTCACTCACCGGGTCACCTTCGACCACCTCGCCTTTGGGGTTCTTGATCACCATCACCAGCTGGGCCTGGAAGGTGACGATCAGCACCGGCCCCTGCTCCATCATCTTACCCATGGCTAGCTGCGGGGAGCCGACAAGGTGGCCTCAGAACACCCCAGGTCCCTCCCGCTGGAGGTGCAGACCCCCACCACCCTGTCTGCCCTATCAGTGCCCCATGGCCTGCACTCGCTGGCCTGCTTCCAGGCAGGGATTTCCCATGAGACTCTCCACGGAGACATTCAAACCCTGACTATGAAGGGAACTGAAACTGCTGAGGAGACCTGCAGGCTCCAGACGGCTGAGAGACTCCTCGGCCCGGACACTGGGGCCATCAGGGGCATGAAGCCCGTTGTGAGCAGGGTCCGCCCCACACATGGGGGGAGAGGGGGAAGCTAGTGCCAGGCTGCCTTCAGTTCCCACAGGGAGGAAATCAGGGCGCTGGTGGCAGAGCATACTATCTGGAGCCCACACTCTTGACAGCACCCCGGCCCTGCCCACTGAAGGCTCAGGGACAGCAGCACCGCCTTCAGGAGCCCAGGGAGACCCCCGTGCCCACCTTGTGGGCCCAAGAACATTTCAAACACGGGACTACAGGACCTGACTGAAAGGGAACCTCCAGGTTTACTCCAAGAGCCTTCCCACGCTGGGCCTCTCCCGGGGGCAGGGGCTCTCCTTGGGGGCACAACTCTGGTGAGTGACCTTCCCAGCTGCGGGAGGACCTGGCCGGGAGAACTACTCACATCAATGTTGTCGATGTCCAGGATGCGGGAGTGGAACTGGAGCCCCAGGGCGCGGGCCTGCTGGATGGGGTGGGCTAGCTGGCTGTAGGTCTGCAACAAGAACCACAGACCTGTGTAGCTGGCCCAGGGCGCGGCCACACCAGCCCTCACAAGTGGGTGGGTGCGGCCACAGGAGCCCAGAGCAGAGGCCACCCCCGGGCTGGGGCTGTGCCAGGAAGGACTCCTGCAGGTGGGCCCATGCTGCTTTTAGCTCTCTCACACCTTCCAGAAACAGCCCCGTGCCGGGTGTGCTACACCAGCAGTGGCAGATGCCGCAGGCGCAGCCGACATGTGTGGGTCTGAAGCACACGCTTCCCCCTTGCAGGAACAGCGCTGTGTCGACACCACACCCATGAAGGAGGCGGTCCTTTTGTGTGATCGGAAGCACACTCCCGCGGTACATCAAGGCCTCTAGCTGATCCTGGACACTCCCACATTCACCTCATTCTGAGTCCTGGCCTGGAATCAAGCACCTCTTCTAGGACAGGTTCTGGCCCCCAACCAGCCCTGTGGGGGGCTGCGGGCCACAGCAGCCTGCTCTTGCACGGTGATGCTGGGGTCCCGGGCATGCTCCTGGCCCTGGACGGTCCCAGGACCGGGCCACCAGGTCCGGGCTCAGCAGGCAACCATGATGGTAAACATTCCAGTGGCTTCTGTTTTGTCATGGGAATAATGCATCAGCCAAGGAAGAAAAAACGGTGCCAGTCTGCCTGAGCAGTTGGAGGATGACATTTAAGAAAACACGCCTGTGTGAGCGGCTGCACCCTCAGCCGAGTTTCCAGGGGCACCGAGGAGTTCTCTGGCAAAGACATCAGTCTCATCCTACTGGTCCCAAAGGGGAAAAAAAAAACAAACAAAAAAACTCTCCTAAATGCCTGCCTGATTAGTCACCGTGCAGGGGAGTACTGAAAAAGCATCTGACATCTTCTCTGCTTCTTCCAAGTTGTGAGCTGGGGACAGGCAGAATCAGCCAACAAAGACTGAGCCTCTTAGCACAAAGGAGCAGGGGGGTAGCAGCCTCGTGGGCGACAGGTCAGAGAGTGAGAGGGTGACGTGAGGTGGCCGCCCAGGCTCAGTGCGGAGCCCGGCGCTGGGAGGCTGCCAGCCTCGGCAGACAGGGTGTGTTCCTGGGGACGCCTGGCCCGCCTCGGGCTGGACGGCCGGGGACCTAAGGCTGGACTCGGAGTAGCCAGGCCTCCCCAGGACACCAGGCTCCTCCCCGGGCGGGAAACCCATCAACGTCTGTTTTTGTCTGTGTTTCGGGATCTTGCAATGAGAACAGCTAATGACTCTGTCAAGGATGCCCTGGGCCGTGGCATCCGTGCTCCTCGGTGCCCTCCAGACCTGTGAGCTGGGTGCGGTGCGCAGCTCCAGCCGGGGGCGGGGGGAGGTGACCCAGGCACAAGAGGCTTCAAACGCCAAGTGCAGTCCAGGACCACGGTCACCACACAGGCGGAGGAACGGCCAATGTACCCCACTCATCAGTCGTCCCTTTCAACTCACTCCCCGACCCCTGGGCCCCCAGCCTGTATCCCGCCATCCTGGCCAGAGCGTCTGGATTCCCGTCACTCAGGCCACCGACAAAGCCCAGTCTACCCAATGGCGCGCGGCCCCTTCTGTGACCTCCTTAGCGATGATCCCTTCCAGATGGGGAAGGGCTCTGGACAACAAGGAGAGGCAACAGAAACGCCCCAAGCCCAGGCCCTCCTTAGGCCAAGGTGGGGAGAGGCTCCTTCAGGACCTAGGAGTGCAGTGGGGAAGGACCAGCCACGCACCAGACATGGGACCCCCAAAGGGCACATGCTGAGACCAGAAGGCAGGGCCCGCTGTGCGCTCAGCCCAGCGAGCCCGTCAGCGCGAGGCCCCCTGACCAGACCTCCTGACCAACCCACCCGAGCAGATCTTCTTTAAACTTTCCTTTTCAGATCTAAATAGAAAAGGCACTCACGGCTTCATAGCACCAGTCTTTGAGAATGTCGAGCTCTCCAGAAATCATCGCCTACGGAGGGAAAGACAGCAGATGTGAGAGGAGAGGCAGGCGGGCCCTCAGTGCGTCTCCAGGCCCTTCCCTCTCCCGCGGGGCCCACCCTCCGGCTTCCACTATGGGAAGGGCGTCTTGTGTCAGGTCAAGGTCACGGCAATGGGCAGCAGGTCCCAGGAAGCCAAGCCCCTGCGTGCACCACACGGGACTCCAGCCTTCTTGCTGGCCGTGGGGGCCCCGGAGGGGAAGGGAGGGGCCGCGCAGGGTGGGGAATGGGAAATCAGAGGTGGCAGGAAGAGGGGACAGGAACCCAAATGGGGGTAGAGGGGTTTTCTGTGGTCCCGCAAAAGGCCCTCTCAGGTCTGTCTTGCCTTCAACCACACCCTAGAGGGGACCTGGAGGGGCAGACATGACAGAAAGGCAGCCAGCTTCGGCAGAGGCCTCGCGGAGGGTGGGCTGTGATGGGGCTGAAATAAGCTGTGCCCTTTAAGAAAGAGGAGGGGCCTCCCCGGCGCAAGGGATTGAGTCTCAGCACTGTGGGGCTGCTGGTGGCCTCTGCAGCATGAGTTCCACCCCCCAGGGAGCTGACCCACAGGGCGCAGCAGACCTCTCTGGTTCCCCCGCTGCTCCCCTCAGCAGTGTATCTCAGTAGATCTACCTGTTCTGCTCCCCACTCTGTCTCGGGTGAGACTTCTCACCCCCTGCACCTCTGGCCTGTACCTCAGCTCTTGTATGCATAAATAAATATTAAAAAAAAAACAAACACAGGAGGTGCAAGAGGACTAGAAAGGAGATGGGTCAACGATTCCT